TGACCATCCTGCAAGGAGGTCAGCATTTTAAAATTCACTACACTCAGGGTTCCATAATGTAAAGTAGGCAACATAATGCCCCCCAGTGACCAAGGCCCCTGCAGCAGCCAGGCATCTCAGACAAAATTGCAACAGTTAGCATGATTACCTTAAAAAGGAGAACTATGGGGGTTAAGGCTTTTCCCCATCGTTCTCCTTAGGGTAACAGGAGGACATAAACCAGTGTCCTCCCATCACCCTAAGCTCAGTATACCGCAAGCTACAGCTCACGGTATACAGACTGCGCAGCTGAAGTGGATCCCAACAATTATGTCAGCTGTACCCGCGTCTAACCCTCCGAACCGCCAGTCAGCGCTGGTGGATCAGAGCGAGAAGGGGGGAATCCAGCCCCTCCCGTCACAGCCAAGAGCTGTGACGGGATCGAGCTGGCTTCCTGATACTGGAAGCTCAGGTATCAGGCCAGAAGAGGACACAGCACAGGACCCCCATGCAGAATCAGAGTTGAGTCTGGTAGGAGAAAATTCAGAGTTAGGACTTACCGGTAACTCTATTTCCATTAGTCTTCCAGGACAGCATCACGAGATGGAATCTCCTCCCCCACACACAGGAAACACGTCACTTAATCTGTTTAAAAGACCCTCCTCTCCTCCACTCCCTCAGTCATCACGAGAACCGAAGGCAAGATGAAGGTTCTCTTGTGGAAGAACTCAGAGCTAGGTTCCAGACAACCCACCAGTACTCTAAAACCAGGTGTACACATTTTCAAACTGTGGGGGTGATGAAAATATTAGACATTCCTCTATCAACTCCCGATCGTTGATGAAGAATCCCCTACTGTTTGCATTGTATTCTGACAGCAGCTAGCTGTTGCAATGCCCAAACAGAACTTGTAGCCGATTGGCTGCCAGCTCCATTCGGCAGAGAATTTTCCAACATGCTCCATCAAGCAGCTGATCGAGGTATGCAAGGCATAAGCTTGCCAGCACCAACTGAATTTCCACTAGTTCATCAGGAACCATCTGAAATTTGACACACGTATGCGGCTTTGGGAATGAGTCCAGCCAAACATCTTGAAGTTTGGCATTGTAATCATAACATTGGCAGCCAGAATCAGTTTTGACTTTTCCCTCAACAGCTCAGCTAGACATGCCAAGGAACATAGAAAGGCCATCACAGAGCCAGTACGTTGGATAAAACAAGGGGCAGAATTTTTTTTTTTAAAGGGAAGGCCCAGAGTGTAGGAAGCCCTGGCATGCAAAGGGACTATTAATGCACAGAAAAATGGTGCTTGCAAGTACACAACCTTAATGCCCACAGGCCAAAAGAGCTCAATGGGGAAGGCCATAACAGAATTGCTGAATTTTATGAGGAATTTTGGCCTGGAAAAGCTTTAAGGCCTGCAGATCCAAGAAGCAGAAGATGCCGCCTTTTTTGGGGGGCAGCAAAAAAAAGGCGGAAAAGCCCTGAAACCTTTGTACCATATGGACATTGGCAAAGATTTCCCAATCCAAAAGCAGATTGAGCATGCAGCTAGCCAGTGTTGAGTGAAAAATTAGGCAGAAAGGGGCAAAACAACCCTAGAGCCAACTCCGGAAAACCACTTTCTGTAACCTGGCATTGTTTAAGTGGACCCTTGGCTTTAAAGGCTGCCTGGTGTCCAAGTGGCAGTCTTGCTGGCTTGAGGCCCAGATGACTTTTGCTGGGTACCCAAGGCGGCTCAAAAGAAAGTCACACAAAAGGAGACCAGCAAATACATTTACATGCCAGCATCACAGCCCAACACTGCATGATCTACACAAATGAGGCAGACAATAGGACGAGATATCCATCAATCTGTCCAAGCATAGTTCAGTGTTGCCAGCATGAGCTCCAAAAATATAGGAGCAATGTGGCTCCTCTCATGTCTAGTCCATTCCCCAAATACAGTGAAACCTCCCAGCTAAGCAAAACAAGGTGGGGGTGTGGTGTTGAGCAAACAGAACGAAGGAAGCCTCAATGTAGCAACAGGCAGGCAATGATGGTTCAGTCTGTCAGTACCATGAGAGGTTGTGCTGCAGGTCAGTTTAGAGGCAGAAATGTCAGATAACCAGAATAATTTGATTAGACCCAAACAAGAGCAATCCCTATAGATCACCAAGGTGGGGGCATCCAGCCTCCCAGGCCACAATATATGGTAACTAGCAGAGATAAGGAAAATGGGACTGCCACAAGGGGAAGCTGCAGCTGTTGATTTCTCTATACTTGTGGGGGTCTCTGCAAAAGTGCATGCACCATTCGAGGGGAGCGGTATAGGGGTAGAGAATCACCAACTTAGCAGAATGCATGGGATTACTGCTGACAGCTCTTTTAGCCATTCAGGGCTGCCACTGGAATGTGCTTTTGAACGTAGTGTCCTACTCTTGAAGATGGCGCTGTAACTCATTGGTCAGAGCACAGAACTCCACAGCAGAGAAAGAAAACTGTAGGCATGCTGGGAGTAGGAGTTATACCAGGATGGCCCATAAGTTTTGTTGCCAGTGTCCTATCCATGTAGACTACCGTTCAATTAGTTTGTCCCGAAAAGAAAGGTTTGCACTGAAATAAGGAGCCAATTAAGGGCAAAGGGTTTGGAGAAAGGAGAGAACGATCTAGGCCAAAATTGCAGATTTGGAAAAATTCTCCAGTTCAGCTTTGTTGTCCTAGATTGTTCACTTCTTCCTTCTCCCAACTCTTCACCCTTTTGTGAATCCTGTAGGAGTTAACACGAGTAATTTGAGGGGTACAGGCTATAGTACAGTATTTTCAGAACAAGCCTATTACATACATAACACCAAGGGCCATGAGCACAACATTTTTAAACAAGCATCTATAGACAAGAAAAAAAAAACATTTCATTGATAGCATGGGGACACTGTATGGTAATGTTTCTCCTAAGTAGGGGATTGCAAAAACCAGATTTCCCCTGACTTCCTGGTTGGTAAAATGTCTGCATACAGAACAGGAAGCGAGGGGAAATCTCTCCAAGAGCAATGGATAGGTTCTAACTTATCCAATAAAGATACACTTAGCTGAAAAATCCCAGAAACTTTGACAAAGTTGGCATCTATACTCAAATAAGTTGAATGCCATAATGGTGTTGTATAAAAGAACACCCATCAGAAATATGGCACACAATTTGAAAGTCCATTATCACCTCTGTAAGTGATCAACATTTATCGCAGTAATGGAGGTGCAGTGATGCATGTGTACACATTTTCAAGACTCATATTGCAGGCTCTTTTAAAAAAGGCTTTATTAGACCTGAAGCCTAAAAATTCTAAATTTTATCCACAGGAAATTCAGTCTGACACTGGAGTGTCAGTGTAAACACCCGGCCGCCTCCCTGTCAACTATTGTAACACAATCACTAAACACCAGCTCTGACTTACCACAAAAGACACACTGTTGGGGTGGGTGGGAGAGATACACACACTGCTAGCACAGAGGCAGCCATTTCCACAAAGATATGAAGAGGAAAGAAACAAAAATGTAAGTTTGTTTTCATATACATCAACTGCATATGCCCGTTTCATGTACACTGTGTGCATGCATGTTTTTTTGTTAAGTACCTCTGCAATGGTCAAAAATGCTGTTTTTCATTTTGGTCTGCCTGTAACGCGTTATACGGAGGGATGGACATTATGATCGCTTGCTACATTCTGATTTAATGAAAAACAAGAAAACAAGCCTGAATCGACAGTCAAGGCTCTACAGAAGCAAATCTGTGCCTTAGGAGCTAACATTTTGGCCGATACCACTACCATACAGCAGATAAACCATAGTAATAAGACAAGCAATCTAAAAACCCCAAAATATTTTTATTAAAAAGGCTTTCTGTAACAACTAGATACAAAAAAACAGGGGTATTTTATAGGTCAAAGGTTTTTAAATTTCCTACCCAAAGTGATTCCCATAACCCCAATGACAAAAAAAAAATGTAGTCATGTGAAACTGCTAATATATAGCATTGTGAAAGCCATGGTAGACCCTCTTAAACCTGGATTTACAAGGGGCAAGTCTGCAACACTGCCAATAAGCAATTACATACTCCTGCAACCAACACTTTATGGCCATGTACACACAGAAAAGACATTAAATAGGACACCATTGACCCATCTGTTTGCTTTGGATGTGAGGAAGGGCCATTGCTAGCTGAAACAATGTATTTGAGGTATGGGTTACTTAAAAAGGGTATGCATTGCTTTGGGACAGAATTCTTTTGCAGAAAGGGCATAAAGGCATGTATCCAATGACTTTTCAAAAGCCAAAAACAAAAGCAGGTTTTAACTACCTATAAAACTGATCAGTTCTGTAAAGAAAACGTGGCTGTTTAAAGCAACACTTCACACTCTAAAAATAAATGGCCTCTGGACTGATCCTTACCAGTTCTTGTTCCTAGAACCAGAAAAACCAACTACCTTGGATGATTTGTGGTTTTATATTTGCAAGTCGGTTCTAGCAGTATTAACCACCACATCAAACATGTCAGGTGGGAAGTCAAACTGTTGAAAAGACAAAGCTTGTACAATTTCATTGGAAATCTTATTGCCAAAAATACGCAAATGTTAATCATATACATGTATCTGGAGATAAACATAGAACACATTGACATTAACGCATGACTTAACACAAAAAGGATGCATTATAGAGGGAGGGAGACTGTCTTTGGAATCATCCTCAGATTTAAACAGCCGTGCACCATTCACAGATCAGAGGTACCACAGAACTTTCACAGAAAATTCCAGGGCGAGAGGGTTAAAAAAAAAAAAAAAAAAAAGGGGTAAAAAGGGAGTGGAGGGCATCCTACGATCTGGCACCGCAAATAGCTCAGATGGCCATCTTTAAATAAAGCGGCAAACAAATTCATTCAGACCATAATAGTCTCCGCTCTCAACCCTACACATCTACACAAAGAAAAAACAAAAGTTGAACAGGGTGGCGGTGAACAGCGGTATAGTGATCCATCAGCAGACACTGTCACATGCACTGGTGGCCAGCCCAGACAGTCCATATAAAAAGATCCAGTAGCCTTTTGTATTTTATTCATCATCTTCTTCCTCATCATCAAAGTCTTCCTCTCCTTCGTCTTCCAAATCCCTTTTTCGTTTTTCTCCTTGGGGTACATCTGCAGACACAGAAGTATTACATTTAGGGGAGAACACACCTTTTTGTTTAAGCGGCTAAGTGCCCAATCCCCTACAGGCCAAAAGTTATTATTTCATGCATAATGTTATACTTGTGGACTTCATTGACAGAAACAAGCCCAAGCCATGATAGCACCCGCAGGTACAACCAAAAGTGCCTGTAGGCACTTATGCCTTCCCCAAGCCATAGAGACTTATTCTAGAACCAAGCTATACTATACAAAGTAGTGCTGACAAGCAAAAAATGTCACTTCTCAAAGAAACGGTAGACAATGTGATTTTGCAACATACCATCATCTTCATCTTCCTCCTCTTCTCCTTCCTCTTCTTCTTCCACATCCTCCTGTAACATGAAAAACAAGTTAGTAGGAGAAATTGTGTAAGCATTCCCGAGCAGGACAAAATTATCATGCAAGAAAGTCACCTCATCATCTACTCCATCTTCATCCTCCTCATCAAGTTCATCTTCATCAAGTTCTTCTTCGTCATCTTCCTCTCCTTCTATAAGGGTTGACAAAGAAATCACTTTACATGAAGTATCATACCAGGTCAGCTGATCTCAGGAACCCTTCCCCGGTATTATTTGCTATACAATAGAAGGCCAAAAACATAACTGTCAGAAATTCTGAATACTTTACTAATATTCATGAGAAGGTAGGCATAGCACTGCAAGGGTAATTTTCTTTTAGTTCCCAGAGTTCAACTAAGGTTATACTTCAATCCCACAAGCACTTGAAGGAAATGTTAGTGGTTCCAACTTAATCTACATAAAACATATCAACTTCTCACAATTGCACTAGTGGCTACGCAGGGAGTAGAATTCACAATATAAAATTTGATATAACCTTCTCCATTCTCATCTGCATCTTCTCCATCTGGTTCTGGGTCAGAATCTGGAGCTTCCTGGTCATCAGCATCAAAGCCATCAAGGTAAGTAAGATGAGGCAGTAACGCAAATACACTCTCTCTGTAGTTATTTAGCATTGTCACTTCACAGTTGAACAGGTCTAGACTCATGAGATGCGTTAGCTTTTTCTGTAAAAAGAGTGAAAGGAATGAATATTAGACAAAGGACATCTCACAGAATGCATAAATTCAAGAGCTGTATGCCAAAGTAGTACACAATATCAAAAACTGTAGTTGACAACTAAAAGGTTTCATTTCAGGAAGTTTAGTTCTACCATAGTGCATGCTTCCAAATATTAACCGTACTATACACCAGGGGCACCCACAATTTTTCGTCTGGAGATCTACTTTTCAAATGACGAGCTCAAGGAGATCTACGGTACCAACGAAAAAAAAAACACCTGCATTCAGGGGCAGGAGGGGGTGTGGTTGTGCATTGAAGTCAATGGCACTACAGGCAGGTCCCTCACCCACAGTGCGATCGCCTGCACCCGGAACCCAGCACCCTGATATTTTCCTTTTAAAATAGAAAAATAAATGGACACAAAGTCCTCAATCCCCTTTTCTGCAGCCTCTGTTCTAAATGAATGGAAAGCACAGAGGCTCCCCATTCATTAAGAAAATATTTTACTATCAAGCAGTTTCTGAATGGGGAGGAGCCTCTGTACAGACTGCTTCTCCCCATTGAGTAACTCCTGAATGAACAGCAAGTATCACTGGGTACACATAGTACTATGTGTCCCCAGTTATTTACAAACACTGGAGTGATCAGCTGATCGCTCCAGTGTTTGTCCTGCAAAGAGGATCAGTACATATCACTGATATGTACCGATCCTCTGCCGCTCGGCCACGCACAGGGGGGGCTCAGCTTCTCCCATGGATCCCCCCAGCTCTCCCGGGCAGAGGGGGATATTCTCACCGCTCGACATTAGTTCTGTGACAGCAGCTCCGTCCCTTCTACTCTGATACCAGCTGCAAACAGATGGGGAGCGCAGCGGGGATCCAGAGAAGCCCCACCGGCGGGAGGAGAGGACATCGCGATCTAGCAGTGATCGCTACGCAATCGACTGGTAGATCACGATCGGCCTTATGGGCACCCGTGCTATACACTGAATGGGAAAGCATGATGTTACTACATTCTACACAATTCAGTAACTAGTCAACTCATTTTTACATATGTACAGCCAAAGTCACTATACTAGTTATTTCAACACCAAACTTTCTACCGATTCTTTCAAAACGCAGGCTACAGAACCCCTAACAACGAAAGCAGTACATTGTGGCATGCAGCAATGAAAAAAGCACAAGTGCATCTTTGTCCTGTGCTTGCAGCCCAAAACAAATAAGTGGGCTGCCTTAGCACAATGTGTGCCTAAAGATTTTATTGGTAAAATATTGGCTCCCTTTAAACCCAAATGAAAAACAAAATGACCATACTCACCAGGGGCTCAAGAGTATTAATGTCCTTAATTTTATTTCCACTGAGGTTTAAGTGTGTCAGGTTTGGCGTTTTTTCGGCAAGAACCTCTAAACCACCAGAAATCCGGTTGTCACTAAGTTCCAACTGTGTAAGAATGGAAAATGGATTTTAAAAAGGACAGTGTAAAACAAAAAACAAAAATCACCAGCTGTGTTTAGAGAACTATGGGGTCAGGGCTTTTCCCCAAAGTTCTCCTAAGGGTACCGGGAGGACACAAACTAGCATCCTCCCGTCACCCTAAGCTCAGTATACCGAGAGTTACAGCTCGCGGTATACTGAGATGCCGCAGCGGATCCCGACATTACGGTTGAGATCCACCCAGCTGCGGGATTGAAAGCTGGCTCTGCCTATCTAGAGGCAGAGCCACCTGTGCTCACCCCCTCCACGCCAGTCCTCGCGGGAGGATAGGACGGGGGACATCCCTGCTGGAAGTTGTGAGTGACTGTCACAGCTCTCTGCAGGGATAGATCGAGAAGTGAGCGAGTGACTATGTGTTTGCTCACTTCCCGATCTATTGAGCCGACCTGTGAGTTTCATTGTCACAGGTCGGCTCGAACTATGAGGCTGAGTGATATTCACTTGCCTCATAATTCTCCTTTTAGTACCCACCCAAACTCTGAAAAGGCAAAATCTGCTCTCCAGCCGAAGCTTGAGGGCTTGTTCACACCAAATCTGGACCAGATCTGCATGCGTTTCTTCATATGCAGTGCATTTTGATGCGTTCTGGGCCTTTTTTAGCCCAATATGGGCTTTCAGTGCATTCTGGGGCGTTTGCATGCATTTTGGTGTGTTCCAGAGCAGAACAAAATAGGGCATGCTGCAGTTTTTCCACATGCTCTGGAACTGAACAATGGTGCGAGCTAGAGTCCAAAATACCATTGGAATACATTGGATGCATTCTGTAACTGCTCTGCACTTGGTGTGAACAAGGCCTAAGGCATGAATATTGATACTCCATAAAAGGTATATACATATTTTAAACATCCATATACCACTCGCCAACCACTTTTTTGTACGAAGACATTTACTTTCCTGTCACATTCACCTACCATTTCTTACTTGGAAGGCCATTGACAAAATGCATAAAGTAGTAGAGACAACCACCCCAGAAAATCCATCTAGAAAAGGCTTGACAAAATGTGTTGCAAAACAGACATTCAAGAAGGAATGGTGGAGATACCAAGTTACTGTGTGACAAGAACCTTTTAAATATCTAAGATATTGAGTGGTGTCTAGATTTTTTTTTAGCAAGAACCATATAAAATACACATAAGGGCATGGCACTTAATAAAAAATAAAGTACTAGAAATGAGTAATACATGTCCCAGTGCAAGTGAAATTACATGGTTTAATTCACCAGTAACATCAGATACCAATATGTCAAGAAAAAAAAAAAAAAAGAGTTCATCTACTTTTCTCTGATTG